GGGGAAAAACACGCCCACAAGCCTAAGAGAACCAGAAAGCAAAGCTCTGAGTGCAGATCGCCGAGAGCAGGGGGAAAACTAAGCACATTCGAGAACACTGGAAACCAAGGAGCCGAACTGCGATGAAAAATTAGGTGACTGAGAAAAACGGACACTGCAAGATTTGGAAGTCTTCATGTAAGTGTTCTAGCAAGGAGGAGAAAAAATCCTTAAGGTGATCTGAGAATATGGTTCAATTTTCAAATACCTCAAAATGATGCACCTGAAGTCTTTTCTTTTTTTTAAATCATTTTATTGAGAGCTCTTACAGATAACAATCCATAATTCAATTAGATCAAGCATCATTGTATAATTGGTGCCACCCTCATTTTCAAAACATTTTCTTTCTTCTTGAACTCTTTGGTATCCGTTTCCCTTTATCCCCTCTTTCTCCGACACTACCTTCCAGGAACACATATCATATTATTTATATATGTGTACATATATGTAATATTACACCATCCAATGTATCCGCTCACCTACAATTCTGTCATTCGTCCCCCTCGAGTGGGGCTGGGATGTCTTTTCTTAGCTCTCTGCAGCAGGCTGGAATTCTGTCCCATCCGCAGTCAAGGCCCGCGTATATCCCCTACCCCTTTACCCTGTCACTCTGCATGGAACTCTAGGCAAGAGTTTTTTCTAGGCAAGATTACTTGGTATATCAGGAGTATTGATTAAATAGAAAGCCTATTTCTCAACAATTTCTCAACAATCACTGAAATCAGTGCCACACACAGCCAAAGCATTGTGAAATGCACTCAGGATCGGTTTTTCTATACAATCTTCAAATAAAATATTACCTTTCCCATTTCTCAAAATCTGTTGAGTCATCCAGGAAGGTTACTATCCGCTTTTCCAGATAGATGTCAATCTTTTCTTCAGTCACTGACGTTGAATTGAAGATCCTTTGAGTCACTGGCTGTAAGAACATGGGCTTATAGCTCCCTTCGAGCAGCAATTGTAGGAAAAGTCCACTCTCTGCAAGAGAAAGAATTCTCCCAGTAACCCAAAAGACCATTTGTTCATACTATAAAGGAAAACAACTCTACGATATAAATCTACCACCGTTTTAGTATGCAAATATACACGAAGGGGCTTCTAAAAAATCATGGAAATTTGCATTTTTAAATTCCATTTTGTCATAAATGTTTTCAAAACCCCTCATGTAAAGATATACATTTAGAATGCAGGCTGTTCCTTAATCACAAAATTTTGAGCAAATCCTCATCATTCTACAACCATTACCTCTCCTAGGAGTAGAAGCTCACCCACACTGATCAGACCCAGGAATAATAATCCGGCATAGACGAGCATAATTAGCCTTCTGCTGGAAGCTTCCCAGAACTCTAATGATAAAAGGGCAGTGTCTTCACCCAGGTTCTGAGGACTTTCACCTTCGGGCTCCTGCTCACACGGTTCTGCCTCCTGAAGTTACCCCAGCCACTGTCTTACTTATCTCCCCCTAAGATCCCATGCACATTCTGTCCTAAATGGCTACTTCTCTTCTGGGTCCACCCTAAAACCCACAAGCAGTAAGGTGCCATTAACTCGTTCTCTCTCTAGTAAATGATATCTCTGCTCCCTTGTTTCAGGTATTCTTCCTACCAGCTGTGAAACTTTGAATAAATTCCTTAACTAATCTGTACCTACACATCTGCACAATGGGGACCATGGCTGTGAGGAGGATTAAAGGATGGAGTGCACACAGCTGCTCCAAAAGGTTACCTGACGTTGCTACTGTTATTACTGCATCTGCACCTGCGTGGCAGCTTGGGGTGTGGGTACCGACAGAGCCTGAGGAACACGCCCACCACCACCGGGAGCGCCAATCCAAACTCTAAGGAGTCTCTTACACACTGCAGTCGGGGAAACAAAGCCCCCCAAAGCTTGGGA